AGTCTGTCTAATGCAATGCGCACCAAACACAATATGTTCTATTTTGTTCTTTACAGTCTTGTTCTATGAAACAAACGGGGGGCCTTACTAAACGCGTTTAAGCCAATGGAAGTAGCTTAAGGTCTATGACTTATAACCCTCATATAACCATGGAAACTGGGAAGTAAAAAAAAAAAAGCAATGAAGAAATATCTAGAAAATATACACAACCAAATTGGCAAAGAAAAAACAAATGATTTTCTAATTTAACAAGCAAAAAAGGTTAAAAGTTGTGAAGGTAAGAACCCACGACACACCATTGAGTAGTTATACTGGCACCCTTTTGCCGCGATAACGATCCAACATCTGTATACATAAATCAAGTAAGTTATTTTACTCTATATTTCTAAACACTAAACATGCACCAGATTAGAAACGACAACATAATAGTAATGACTAACAATAATAAGGTGTTGTTTCTTTTTCACTTATCTTAATGGGGAAATGATTTAGAAGCTGCTGTTTTTCCTTTAAACTTAATGGGCCAAATGGGTTTGTTAAACACTTATACCGTTTCTTTTTTACTTAATCTGGACATAATAATGGTTTTATGGGTTAAGCCAAAAACAAAACTTAGCTAAAACCCTCTCAATTTCTCCCTTAAATGGTTTTTAGAATGCCAACTAGCTTTATATCACATAATTAATATATACTTTCATTCAAACATGTACATTATATATTTTGTTTTTAATGATTCTAGTAACTAAACTTTGGTAACTTAGTTTAGAGGTCATCCACCGATCGGATCCACATATATATATCTAAAGTTTACACTTACAGCCTCCAAAATCATTTTACTAAAATTCAAAATATTATTTTTTACAATCATATTTAAAAACTGACGTTTAATTAAAATTTATCCACAATCAAAACAACTCTTAACTATTAAGTTGAATTTAAGTTACTATTTACTAATCATATTGTGATGGAAAATAATTACATCTATACCACTATAGTACTATTTGTAGAAAATAAACATTGATTTACAACAGTTGTTAAAAAAAACAATCATTTGTTATTTCTATACTGAATATTAAACTGGTCATTTATTCAAATTCAGACAGTTCATTCAGTCTATATGCATACATTACTTTATCCACACATACATCATTACCCATTCATCCATTATTCCATTTTACTCTTTATCCATACCATGACTTAATAACGAAGGAAAACCTTTATCCAGAAAATATAGTTTTTTCTATGTTAATCAGAAAGAAGGGCTTAATTGAGAAAGTCATGGAAATGAGGCTTTTCCCCCAACTTTATAAAAACTTACCCTCATTTATTTTTTCCTTCCATTTTCTCAAATATATTATATTAAACATCATTTATCCAGACTGAGAAGATATTAACATTTACAAGGGTATGGAAAACATACCGATCTAAGGTAAGGCTGTTGAAAAATCCAACCAATAACAGGTATCTTCTGCACAAAAACTGATAGTGTAGGCCAGAATCCACTGCATAAATGGAATCTTAAGTAATTAACAGCAATTCCTATGAGCAAAAACAAAAAGCAATCAAACTATGAGAAATGTATCAAGCAAACCTGAAGAGAATAATGAATCCATAAGCCTCTGCTGCCATTCCTATTACAGGCCACCCAATGATAACAAAGAAGAATCCAACACCAAATGAAATTGTGCCCTGTAAATGCAGTGAATGAATCAAAGGATAGATAACTAGATGTACAAAAGAATTTTATGAGTGAGTATTAGAAACCTTAAAGTTGCTGCGTTTCATGAAGAACTGCAAGGAGGACTTGACTCCAATGGTCATTATCACTCCTGAGATGAATAGGATCTGGTTCAATACCAAACAAAATTGACCCTTTGTCAGTAATTGTCAAATCAGCATCAGCAATAAGAAAAATAGATTAAGTCACCAACATTTCCAATGGCAAGAAGCCCCTTGTCGAAGAAGAAAATGATCCCCAAAAATGAGAAAAAGACACCAAATCCAGTCAATCCTAACCCGATCTCTGTTTCATCAAGAAAAAAGAACCGATTAGTGGAGTAATATTTTAAAAAAATCAGTTAACACTAATTAAATCTGAGCAATTCTCTTTTCCACAACATTCTTTTAGTAAAAAAAAAACCAAAATCTGCAACCTGATCTGTGTAACCATAAGAATGTTACTAAATTAACTCAGTTTCCAAAGGTAATCTAGTGTCTAATGAAATACTCCAATAAAAGAAACTGAAATCCTATAACCACCAATTTGGATGCAACAAGGAATCACATCCTTAGATAGAGTTCTAAGCATTTACAATACTAGAATACAAATACAAAATTTTCATCTTTTACTAGCATGTCTCCTAGCAGTCTGGCACCATGCTTATACTATCCCCTTATCCCTTGAAATTGTAACAATTTCTAATTTGGCATATCCCATATTAGTTGCACTTGCACATGTTTCTTTATTTGGTAATATTTCAAAATAAAGTTATTTATGTGTCCGTTGTCAATTATTCAAAGGAGTCAATTCTGGTCCATAAGATAACCCTTGTTTTCTTTGTTGCTGAAAGACTTAGACATGTGATTATAGTCTTATATCCTTATAGAACTATGTGCCCTTTCTATTGGTCCACAAGATAACCCTTGTTTTCTTCATTGCTAAAAGACTTAGTCATGTGATTAATAGTCTTATATTCTTATTAAACCATGTGCCCTTTCTATTGCACTGAAGGGGAAGAAATCTTGCTTAGTGCATAATGCATTTGAATGCAGTGGTCAGGTATCTGTGCAAAGAATTCTCACTGGTTGGACAAAAAATATGGCAAAGAATAGTTGAAGCACCAATTCACATAGATAATCAAATCTCTGCTCCATGAAGATTGGCCAATCAAAGGGTCTAGGTTTTTTTAAGTTTCTAATCTTTAAAACTGAGCCAGCTAGAGTAGAATTTCAAACATATTGGTGCTAAAGCAAAATCAAGGCTCAGGGTTTAGACTCCAGAGAGTTCATCAAACAGACTGCACAATGTCCCAGGCCATACAATTATTCATCTTATGTTCATAAGATACAGGAGTCTATCCATGACTCATAACATGTATCAATCATCAGCCGCATATTAAGCCTTGATTACCAGGTGATTAAGCCTTATGTTATACAGTAATATAGCATCATAGTTGGCAATGATTATACTAATAACTCTAATACGATCAAATGTATAGAACGGTCTATATCAACAAAAATTTCAAATTATTGTCAAGTGCGAGTTAACTCCAACATTATGATTAAAATTTATATATACAGTAACTTCAAATTGTAAGGGGGTGCAGAAAAAGAACAAAGATGCTGAAAACTCACTTTTCCAGTCGTTCATCTCTAAGCCAACCATCCTGCCTACTCGGATGAAACTCTCCAACGACTAGATCAAATTGATTTCCGTAGACTGAATCAGAAGCAAAACAAACCTAATACAGATGAAATTAATCAATATTAATCCACAGTAAAGTATAATTCAAACTAACAAAGTTCTAACTATTATGAGATCACGCAATCGATTTAGGGTTTTAATACGCAAAATTCGGCTTAATTAAGATCTCAAAACTCAAATCTTCTTAACTAAGATCACCGATCTGACACGCAAACGAAACAAAAGCAGATACCGAATTTACAAAAACTGATAACAGTTTAATAAAGAACAAACATACAATTCGGTTGTGTAACTTCAGAAATCGTAGGAGATAAACCTGTTTCAGAAGGAGATAAGCACATATATACTGCTATGCGAATTAGTGTGTGTGAGGACTCGGAAGATGAGATGGTAGAATTTGTATTCTCCCAGTCGGGTATCGTTCTTCTCTCTGAAGAAATCGATCGTCATCGACGCGTTGTTTTTCAAATTCAGACCTACACCAAACAGCTAACTTGGTCCCTGTACTTTAGGTATTAGTATCTAAGGTCCATATACTTCTACGTGATAGTATCTTGGTCCCTGTACTTTAAAGTATTTTTAGGTAAGATAATTTACAACTTAAACCATTTTTGGCCATCTTATATGTATTTCTAACTTGCATTTAGTGTTTTGCAATGTTTGTTTTTTATGGTTATTTACTTATTTTATAACATTGGTTTCAACATAAAAGAAGATTCGAGAGTTCTTTACTTTTCATGGATCATTAATGTTGTTAGAAGGTTATATAAAAACCTAAAGGTGAGGTGTGTGTCAGTGAAGAGTAGTGGCCAAATGAAGACGAGAGTATTTTGTTTACGACTACCAACAAATTCGTTGAAAATGACATGGTTGATTTTAGGGATAACGAAAATGGTTAGGATTGAAGGAGGGGTCAGAAGATAAAGACAAAGTGTAGAGTTCTTATTAGGAGAATAGACAAAGATCAATGATTGGGACCCAGTTAATGCAGATAGTAGGATGGTAGGTGTCGTTCGCCTCGACAGTAGCAACATAATCGATCATAAGAGAAAGAGACATTATAAATAATTAAAGGATACATACAGTTGTATATAGTTTATGATAAGAGGAAGAAGGAGAAATTGGTAACAAATGATGAGATGTTAAAAAAGAACAAAAATATCATTCTTTTGTTTGTGTCTAACTCTCGAATGCGAGAATTAGTTATCATCATTTTGTTTGTATCTAACTCCCGAAGCGAGAATTAGTTATGGCGATGGATCACGTAATGATTTGAAGTCATAAAAACTAACTCGTGATGTGTTTCCGTAGTTGTATTTAAAATAAAAGTTTTAATAAAAGATCAATTTAAAACTTTTATCTTAAATAATTTTATAACTTTTTATTTGAATGACAAAATAATCATTTTTCAAAAATTGTCGGTGCCAGATCACAAAAAATTAGTATATTTGGACCTGTGCAAAACCGTTTTTTTTTTAAATAAAACTTATCAACAAAATCATTATACAGCAAATTTTGCAGTTTACCCCATAATAATGAATCTAAACAAAAAAGAGTGAAATTTTGAACAAGGGAGACTCGATCAACTGTATTCTATTCCACCCAGCGACTCCATTTCAAATCAATTCAAAATCGACTACTTAAAACAGAAGATTTGCAACTCAAAATCTGAGAGGTCTCTAGCAGGATCATCATATTCCAGTACTACTTCATTGACGTGATTCCATCAAATCAACAAAATGGCACGAGCATCAGCACTAGCGAAGTACAAGCTGGTGTTCTTGGGTGATCAATCCGTCGGCAAAACCAGCATTATTACTCGCTTTATGTATGATAAGTTCGATACCTCTTATCAGGTGCGAAAATTGTTATCCTTACACTCATTGAATCAGATCTTCATAGCAGTTTGTGCAATTATCATGTCAAATCGGCGATCTGATTGTACCGAGTCCCTTTCTTGCTGTTTCGCTGATTACAAACAGATCTGTAGTTTTCTTTTGCTTTCAATTCTGTTGGTATAAGTTTTCTATCCCGATTTGAAGCGTGTTTCAGAAATTGTGCAAGGATTTTGAGTTTTACTTAATCAATGTTGTTACAAGGAGTAAGGGACTACGGGAGTGTCTATTTTTATACATAATCATGTCTGCACCAAGTTCAGTGAGATGTCGCTGTATTGGTGGCGGTATCATGATCTAGAATCCTGCTCCTGTGTTACTTGTTTGGGGTATAATCCATGAACTCTTTTAACCATATGATCATGCTCAGAGGAGATAAGCATCTTGTTTATTGTGCTTTTAGTGAAACATTTTTATTGTTCATGTTTGTAGCTTAGGATATAAACTCAACCAGACAACAATGGTATATAGTTTTATACTGTTAGTCACAATATATCGATTTATTACATTACCCACCTCCTTTCCAATATTTGAGATGGATTCTGACTTTTGCAGATCAGAAACCTTTCTACTGGTTGTATTTCTATAACTTTTAACCAACTCCTGTTATTCTGGTTTCAAAGTCAAAATGCATATTTGATTCTTAATACCAGATATTATGTATGCACCCTTTTCCACTTACTACAATAGTATCTTAATTCTTAGCATCTATATATCTTACTTGTCTGTACCATTATTCTTGTGTGACTGTTACCAATTAGCTACTGTTTTCAAAGACTTCTTAAGAGATCATCACAAAGTTAAAATAATGTTTCTGTTGTATTAAATGTTAATTTTAACCTACTCTCTTGAAATCAAGCTCAATTCATATATACCTTAAACTAAATCAAGTTGTATGTTGATCAGGCAACCATTGGGATTGACTTCTTATCTAAAACAATGTATCTTGAAGATCGAACAGTTCGTCTGCAGTTATGGTAAAATGTTATAAACTGCAAATATTTACTTTTCTTGATGTCATCTTACACTTTGAATATGATAATTATATATTATATCAGGGATACAGCTGGGCAAGAGAGGTTTAGGAGTCTCATTCCAAGTTACATAAGGGATTCTTCGGTTGCTGTTATCACATATGATGTTTCAAGTACGAAATAATTCAACTACCATTTTTCAATCCACTTTTTCAAGATTTGAAATTTGTAATTTTTTTTTAATAATTAGGCCGGCAAACTTTTCTTAACACTATAAAGTGGATCGAGGAAGTGCGTGCAGAGAGAGGGAGTGATGTTATTATTGTTATGGTTGGGAACAAGACTGACCTTGTGGACAAAAGGTGATCATATGCATTTCATAGCATTGTACTTTCCAATTGTTATTATCTGTATAAAATATAAATGATATTTATTAAAAAATATATATTCACCAGGCAAGTGTCAGTAGAGGAAGGTGAAGCCAAAGCTACTGAGCTCAATGTGATGTTCATTGAAACAAGTGCTAAAGCTGGGTTCAACATCAAGGTATGCAAAAAAAAAAAAGAATTTGTTATATTTTATTGGAAGTTAAAATTAGAAAATGATTTTTATTTATGTATTTATTTTTATTACAGGCTTTGTTTAGGAAAATAGCAGCAGCGTTGCCAGGAATGGAAACACTTTCATCAACAAAACATGAAGAAATGGTTGATGTGAATTTGAAGTCAACAAGCATGAGTTCATCTCAGCCTGAATCTGGTGGTTGTGCTTGCTGAACAAAATTGAAAAAATTTGGGAACAAAATATTCAAATGAAATCCTTTTGTTTATTGGTTTGTATGTAACAAATTCGTATGTTTTTTCCCCTTTAATTTGATATTATTACATTTGTGACGGGAGTAGAATCATCCTGCATTACTGAGGTGTAGTTTTTTCATGTATAAAAGGATTTATGTGGAATCGCCAAGATTTTGAATTGCTTTTTTGTATTGATGGATATTTTAAATCAAGGTATTTGTGTTTGGGAATCTGCATATTCAGTAAAATATCAACATGAATACAATAGTTCATATATTAATTAATTATATACTTACTGTATAAGAATTTTATAATTCAATTGATCAGATATTTAGAAAAGTTAGACATTACAAACTACTAAAAAGTAGGTCGTGTAGAAGTTAAATAATAAATATTGATAGAATATAGATTAAATACTATTTCAGTGACAACCGTTGTAATATTTAAAGGGATAAATTGCATGCAAAACAATAATTTAGAGCTTATAAAAACTTTACTTATCTAACGTAGTAAAGTGTTTGCTCTAACTTTTTGAAAAACTTTTTTGTTTTTATGTATCATTTTCTTCACCAACTTTATTTAACAATAAACTATCTTTGTAAATTTTCTTCTCCGATGTACGATTAAAAAAAAAAAAAAAAAAACTTTTCATTAGTTAAACATTTGTTCTCATCTATTAGGTGTAAAACTTGTGTAATACAACGAGTTGATTAAAAAAGATTATATACCAAAGTGTAAATAATAAATATTTTTTAAAATAAATTTTGAAATAAGGAATGAAAAAAACATATTAATTGCAATTTTTATCACATTTATTACATTTAATACTTTACATATATAAGTATATATAAAAATAGAAATTAACATGTGGATATTATTTTATTTTAAAAATATAAAAAATGACAAGTGTTAAAATTTACGAGAGATTGACATGTGATAAAATTAGATTTGAAATATTATATATAGTCAGTGGCGTCGTCTAATTGGTTGTATTTTTAGCACATACCATATTTAATGTTAAAATTGTTTTGACTAGAATGATGACGGGTTGAAGAATTGCAAATAAATAAATAAATAAATTCCACTCCGATGCAATGCTGGTTATAAAATGTTAAAAAACCATACACCGTTCTATTAGAGATGTGAGAATGAGAAGTTAATTGATATAGATATGAAGAAGTTTAATGATATTGTGGCGATAATGCCGAAATGGGTTTAACGATCAAGTGAATGGTTATTGAACAATCCAAAGTTTTAATTTTTTTAAATTTATTAAGCCCAAATTCTAAGAAACCGTAATTTTTTGTATATTGTTGGGATGCTTGAGGAAAGGTTATTGACTTATTTCTCAAACAAAAAAGAAGAAGGAAGTTTCGTGGGCTTGGGTTGGATGGGGTTTTAGCAAAATGATGGTTGAGCATGAGAATCGATGCTCGCTTTATTTGGCCTCGAACAATAAAATCTATTCACAATCACTTCGGGCTAATTCCCCAAGGAATAAGAAATCCATCCCCGGTACATGGAAGAATTTTCTGAAATGAATATTGATGTTGTGAGTTTTTTCAGATAAAAAATTGGTAATGGATCTAACACACGGTTTTGGAAAGAGAATTTCCATCTGTATAGGACCAAGAAGGCTACCATATGTGAAGGATTTTGAATCTACCAGGGCGATGATACTTGGATATGAGTGACAGATAAAACAAATGTCTTTTCAGTAACATCCATTGACGATCGATTGGAATATATGGTGCCAAATAAAATTATTTGCTTTACTTGGAGACTTGCTAAAAACTGGATTCCTCTTTCCAACCTTCGAGGTATGAATATTCAAAGAACTTCATGTGCTTAATGTAATCTAATTGATGAGGGTGCGGGCTAAGGAGTGCTGACTGGGCTGATTGTTTTAATCCATGAATGGTTCCAATTTGCCCCAAAAATTTCCTTCTACCCAACCAATGTGGTGGTATTGTAAGTAAGGAATGTGATTATTTAAAATAAAATAAAATAAACGAGATCTCCCCTACCAAGAAGAATGATAAAATACAATCATACAAACCTTAAGCATAAAGAAAAAAAAAACACTATTAGCTCCCACGAATGATGTAATCTATTAAGCCCATGCTCGTTTTGAATTCCCTCTTTTTATTTTTATGCTAGCTTTACTCTTTTAGTACAATCATTTATGACATTAAAAAAATGAAACCATATTATGAAATATTAAGATATTTATAAAAAGAGTAAATTACTGAAATCATCCTTATGTTTTGGTCAAAATTGCACGTTTAGTCCCTAACTTTTCTTTTGCACTCGGATCGTCCCTATGGTTTGATTTTGTTGTGTTTTTCGTCATTTGCCTACATAAAGTTAGGGACCAAATGTGCAATTTTGACCAAATCATAGGGACGGAAAACGCAACAAAATCAAACCATAGGGACGATCCGAGTGCAAAAGAAAAGTTAGGGATCAAACGCACAATTTTAATCAAACCGTAAAGACAATTTCAATAATTTACTTTTATAAAAACCGCGGATTAACATAATATCTCATTCCTATAAAACAACTGAACTAGTATAACATCTAAGATTTTATAAAATATATAGATTTTTATTAAATCTCTGATAAATATCTAAATTATAATTTTTACTGATATTCTATAAAAGTATATTAAAATGATAAATGATAAAACAATTAAACATGATGATATGAGAATATTTGAAATAGACTGTGTAGATTATAATATAAATTTAAATAACAAATTGATATGGCAATGGATTTTTTTTTTTTTTGTAAGTGACCAAATATAATCTTAGTTACCAAGCAATGAACTAGTTATCAATATATCAATAATTCAATTTGCATGTCATTTATCTGATTATAAACTTATAATATATATGTTTGCTTTTAACACCATGTCAATCTTTTGAATATAAAGTTTATGCGTATATCATTTGGAATGCATATCCTCACTAATATGATTAAATTTTATATAAAAATAAATATAGAAATAAAAAAGCAAGTAGCCCATGAAAGTTTTCATAGGATGAGGCCTTCATTGCCGACCATTCATCTGAAGATAACAAAAACCCTCTAAAATCACAACTATTCAATCCCCATCATATCTGCTTCTTCTTCTTCTTCTTGACCCAAAAACACACACACTCAAAAAACACACACACATACACACACTTAATGGCTCTTAGAATGTGGGCTTCTTCCACAGCCAATGCTCTAAGGCTATCCACTTCTTGCAGACCTCATTTCTCCCCTCTTTCACGATGCTTCTCTTCAGGTAAATTACATTTCTATCCTTCCAATATAGCTGCAGTAATCCATGTTTGTTTTTCTTATGTCCCTTGGGAGGTGTTGCAGTTGTCGATGGGTTGAAGTATGCAAATTCACATGAATGGGTCAAGCATGAAGGTGCTGTTGCTACCATTGGTATTACTGACCATGCTCAGGTTCTTTTATCTATTCTTTTTATTTAATTTTATAATTTTATTATTGTCATTAAGAGTTAAATGCTTATTTATGCAACATCTTTTTTTTTTTTTTTTTTCAATTTATACAACTAAATGTTTTTTCAAATTACGTGTGCCACAGCGTTTCATTTTACGGCCAAAAGATCCATTATTTTAGTTATAATTTGTTTAACTAAGTAAATCTGAATGCATATGTTGTGTCACTTGGATAAATTGGTAAAAAAATGGTAAAAAAGTGAAAACCTTTTCCTCTAAATTTGAAAACATTGTTGCATCAAAATGAAAACTTTTTAATTTATCGACAATCTATGTTTGGTTTAATGTCACAAATAGATAACGAGTTACTTTTTTTCTTCATAACACACCATTTATTTTAGAAAAAGTTCATTATAAGGTGAGCTAATGGAATTTTTTGGTTACAAAATATCCTTTTTTCATGGTTTTAAAACATTCAAGTTGCTTATCTTTTAATGATGCTCTTTTGAAACAATGGTGGTTTAATAAATAAATAAATAAATAAATAAAAACATCTATACCTATTTATGATATTAACTCTTTATGTTTTTAATTGAAAAATAAATATAGGACCATCTTGGAGAGGTGGTGTTTGTGGATTTGCCAGATGCCGGTGGCTCAGTAGCCAAAGCCACCGGCTTTGGAGCCGTGGAAAGCGTCAAAGCCACCAGTGATATTAACTCCCCGATCTCTGGAGAGATTGTGGAGGTGAACTCAAAGCTCAGTGAGACTCCCGGTTTGGTAATTCTCTCTCGTTTTCAATTTAGAAATTAAATTGTTTGACGTTAAAAGTCAAAGAATATCGATAAAGATATTATTTTCTATTACTAATGTATAAATTTCACGAATGTTAAAGATCAACTCAAGCCCATATGAAGATGGATGGATGATTAAGGTGAAACCAAGCAACCCATCGGAGTTGGAATCATTGATGGGTGCAAAAGAGTACACAAAGTTCTGCGAAGAAGAAGACGCTTCTCACTAGACTTGAACATACAAAATGTCCTATGAATTTTTTTTCTTTTTCGTTTCTTCCTCAACTAACTGAAATCTCAGTTGTTCTAAATAAATGATATTATTTCAAAGTCTTGATGTTAATTTATTATCTACTATAAATTATGATACAAGTAAGTTACCCGTTCATGTTACCACATCTATGCAATCAATCACAATTTTATCCCATTTGAGGGTATATATCATATTTATACTGTCAAATGTTACAAAAGTAGCACGAATTATATAATTTTATACAATTGTCACCCATATTTATATCATGAGCATATCAACACCAATATGTGGAACCGGTGGAGGCCTTAAACCTCACCATAGCCGTTGCAGTTTGAAGGGGAATAAGAAGAAGCAATTGATATCAGTTTCAGTCTTAGTTCATTGCTGACTGTGTCAACTTTAGTTTGAGTAGCCACAACCTCAACTTTTGGGATTTCAGATTTAGTCACATGTGAAAAACTTTCGGGTTCACAATAAGAAATGGCGATGAGAGATTCCCTCACATGCTCGAGTGAAAACTTCTTTGTCTGTGGTTGATAATAACCCATGTAACGTAGTATGCTTTATCCTGCAAATATTCCGAAATTAATGTAAACGTCGTTTTTGTAGAAGGTTTGGTTTGATGACACTTTCAGGCCTTGTTTGTTAGACAGATTAGCACAAGAACAGATTGCATTAGTGACAAACAAAATGTAATCTTTTGTAATTGATTGAGTAAATCAAATTGTTTTAAAACACGCGTAGAAATGGATTTCAAGTATGATTCGTATGATAAAAATGTTGGCGTGTTTCTGTTTTTGATATTTTGGTCAAAGGTATCATTTTTTGAACCAAGATATGGCATGCTTTTACTCCCCCGTTTGAGATTTAAGTAGTTTTCTCATAATTCGATCATTTGGTTTCGCTTAGCTTAGTGATTTAACGTCAATCTTGGATGTTAAATTCGAATAGAATTATGGAAAAAAGTCAAAATTGATATCTTAAAACAGAGGAATATGTTTTGTTATGGTTTATTGGTTTTCATTGCTGTTCTTTTGTTCAGCTTCATAAAAATGAACAGAAATTCAATAACAAGTCAAACGAAAATAACCGAAGGTTGTAATAATGGAAACCATATCGACAGAGTTTCAAAATAAATCAACTGAAAAAACAGAGGATAATATGAAAAGCAACAATAAATATAAAAACCATCCGCAAAACAATCAAACTTTTGGAAAACAAAAACGCAGATCACGAGACAAGGGATAGAATTTCAGATTAAAATCATGAAGAAGAAAAAGAACAGACCTTAGTTATGGCGATTATGGGTGAAGCAACGGCGTGGATCTCTGCCTCCGTCCCTCGGCGTTTGGGGGAAAGGACAGGAGGAGCGAGGGAGGCGTTAGGAATGAGAGGTTTGGTTGGTGGGGGAGATTCTTTCGTCTGAATCTTTTGTACCCAAACGCCTTTTTTTTCCGACGTGTAATCTATTAACCAATTTTGGATAGCTTTGACTTGGGATTTTGACTCTATCTATATCATCCAAACGAATCCCTCTAATAATAAAATAAGTAAAACATACTCGCCATACGATTTATAAAGCTTTAAATACAAACCTGCAGCTATATAATAATAATAATAATAATAAGTTGAGTGCCATTAGAATGATTAAGAGCCATTTCTTTTTCAATGTGATTGAAAATTATTGATAAGCGATATATAAATGTTTTTCTTTTTTTTAAAATAGAAAGATATTTTTCTAGAGAAATAAGTTTTTCTTTGAGAATCATTAGCTCAAGATTGAGAGAAGATTTTTTTTATTTGAGATCATTTACTTGAAACGTAAGAGATCGATTGTGTTATCTTTTTCAATATTACAAATAGAGGAAAAATTAATACGATTTTTTACCTGATATGCTAATACATCGTTCCATTCTAACTTGATGTTATCAGCAGTGTGAGGAGAATCAACGTTAAGAATCTCAACATTGTCATGTGAAGTGTCTGCGTGATATTCAACAGTCTAGGACATGAGACATTTAACTTTATCGTCTGAAGAGTATTCCTTATCAAAAGCAGATGATAGAGTGATCATCATCTCTTGAAAAGTTGAGCAGTTTTGGACCAAACGATAGACATAAAAAGGAAGTGAGTTTAAAATATCAATTTTAGCTTTTACATTAAGATTTGGCATCCTTTTCTCTTACGTGCTATAACATGGAACATACTTCCCTTTCAGCTTACTGCCAGATGCACCATTGTTTGATGATCGATGTGAAGCAGCTATAGGACCTTTCTTGATGACATCGAGCATATCAAAATCCATGAACTCTAGAACATTTATGGCCTTTGATTCCAATCAGAGAAGTTGTATTGGTCAAACGGGGGAATCTTGTTACAAACAGCTGACCTAGGAACTAAGAAAGACAACATGATTACTTGAGTGTATCACAAACCTACTTTGATACCAATTGAAATTTTGTGTATGATCGGATACACTTCAAGTATGAATAAGAAAAGCAAAACTAAAATAATCAACATAAAGTAAATAATACACAAGTTCTCCAAATATTTCTTTCACCAGAAAAGAGGTTTTGTCTTCACTAAGAAGACGGATTTGTCATAAGACAATTGACACAAAGCTACAAACAAAACTACTCAACCTCACAACATTAGGGTTTGCCCTAATGTTGTATATATACTAATCTATACATGTATGTCCCATGATTGACAAGATTGTATCTAATCTATACTAATAACCGATTTTATCATAAGGATACGGGATCTGATATCTATTCTATATTTATCTATAAAAATTGCCTAATATACAAAAATTACAATCGGAAAACTATACTATAGGTTGACGCTGTTGAACTTATGATGCTGGCGCTGATGACTTGTAGACGCTGATGCTGATAGATCAACATATAATGCGTTTGACTCATCAGATCATAAGGTGCGACCTACTGACCTTACACTTTCTTTAATTATATTTTCATAATTTGTTGTATTGAATTCAAACATTCAAATTGAGGACGGGGAATTCTCAAATGTTATAAACTAGAAAGCCTAAAAGAGATAAACTAAAAAATAGGAAGATTTGAAACATTTTGAAATTTTTGGGTCTAGTCGTTGAATGTGGTATTTTAGACGTCGCCTAGGAGAATTGCCTTTCATAATTGATAACATCCATGAGGCATATGATTATTAGCTGACATCAGGCCGAATGGTATACTTACAACGAAGGAGTCTGTGGCATATGTGGCCACAAACCATGATCGTGCACATCGCCCCAATGTGTCGTCGTGGGTCGTGGTCGTGGTCGTGGCTATTCATGGTGGCTACGACAGAGGCGGTCGACCAATTAAATTTTAGGGCTTTCACCGTTCAACGGTCAATTTTTGTAGTTTTTTTTTACAAACTCAATGCCTATATAAACACAATAAAACCCTCACTTTTCATTAAATTTTACACTCTCATTCTCTAAACCAAAAAACACATGGATTTCTTTAAAAAATTTGACTCGGATGATGACAGATAATTCAACTCAGCCTTATTTAACGTTGTGCAACACTTTCACGATGAAGAAAGTTCGAATGTTGCACGTTCGAGAACGATCGTCAATCGTGATCGCCAAGCCGCACACGACTTATTGGTACGTAATTACTTTGCTGATAATTGTCTTTACAATGAGGACTCGTTCGAACGTCGTTTCCGTCTAAATAAGGCTATATTTTTACGTATTAGTAATGCTTTAGAGACCCATTATGATTTTTTTCAAACAAAAACCCGATGCTAGAGGAAGAATGGGGTTTTCTAGTATACAAAGATGTACAGCTGCGCTTAGGTATTTGGGATACGGTATAACATTTGATGCATCCAACGAGTACTTAAAGGTATCCGAGAGGACCGCAATTGGTTGTGTAGATTGGTTTTGTGCATGTGTGTATGAGATTTTTCACAAAGAATATTTGCTTAAACCTACTACACATGATATTGAGATATTATATTTGGCTCATGAAGACAGACATAGATTTCCGGGTATGCTTGGTAGTCTAGATTATACACATGTGGCTTGGGAAAAATGTCCAAATGTGTGGCGGAGTCAATTTAAGTGAAGTGATATAGGTGAGCCAATTATAATACTATAAGTTGTTGCATCTAAGGACTTGTGGATATAGCATTCGTTTTTTGGAGTTGTGGGGTCTAACAATGACATTAATGTTCTTGGCCAGTATCCTTTTTCAATGATATTTGGACCGGTAAAGCACTTGATATGTCGTTCACGGTGAACAAACATTTGTACAAATGTAGTTACTACCTTTGTGATGAGATAAACCTTGATTATTCTATATTTCTGATCGCATATTTGGTTCCTCGAAGTGAAAAGACAAAGTTGTTCACAAAAAGGCAGGAATCAGCGAGAAATGATATCGATAAGACATTTGGAGTCCTCAAGCAGACGTAACATATAGTGAAATAAGCTACACAACTCTAGGATAAAGATAGAATTAAACTAATGGTCGAAGCATTTATTATAATGCATAATATGATCACTGAAGATCAAGGTTGAGCGATTTGCACGTATGATTCGGACGACCTTGTCATCCCGATTGAAGATTTCGTACCCGGAACGAGTGAATTTTTAGCACGAGTTGTTGAATTTCATAATACTGAAACGTGTTTCAATCTTTGAGAAGATATCGCATAGCATTTGTACCAACTCAACATAAACGAAGATTAGTTTTTCTTTACTCATGTTTGTTTGTTTTTTTAATTATAAGTTATTTAAGTAATGTAATGTTTTCTTTTTAACTCTAGATTAATTAAGTAATGTAGTTTGAAATTGTACTTTTATCTTTATAATTAATGAAAAACTAGTTAAAAAAAATTCAATGTTTTTTTTTTAATTTTTTTAAATGTAATTTTATTGTATTTTTGATCTAAAAAAATGATATAGAGTTGAGTGGTAGTGATGGGTATCCCATATGTTTAGTAATAGTTAGTAGTGATTAGCGTGGACATAACACGATGGTCTTAAAGTTGTCTTAGTAAACACTTCTCTTAATGGATGCCAATAGAGATCCTCTATTTTGATGTCTAGTATTGTATATCAAAAGATCTTATACTTGACTTTAAAAGTTAGATATACCTTCTTTTTTTTTTTTGTTAACCAACTTGATCTAATTTGATGGTGTTTTAAGTATTTAATTTTTATATGATCTTTAGGAATTTAATTTAGTATATCTTTTTTATTCTTTTTTTATGTTTGTATCAAACTATTTTTGTTAACAAACTATGTAATTTCCAACACAAGTAACATGAACACCCTTTTATTCTACAATTCTCTCTTTCTTAAGGATAAGTTAAAAAAGGACCATGTTTGGTTCTTATCAAGTGAATTCATCTAATTTTCCATAGCTTTCTTTTAATGTATGGAATCCTTCAATTTCAGAACCTTTGGATAAGATTCATGTCACAAAGTTCGTAACTAGATAGTATGGTTTCTCTAAGTGAAGATGACAACAGACATAAAAGCCAGTGAATATTGTTGATTAGAGGTAATCTTGAATGTTGTATAAAACTCGATGCTTTATTTTTTTTTCATCGCGATCTACCAAAATAAGGATTTCACCTTATGGGTTGGTTTTGATGTTTGGTTGTCATGGTCCACTTTGGCTCAAATATATATGTAAAAAGGTTGACCGTCTTGTAGAAAGTTTGATTTGAAACCATTTTAATAAAATAAAAGGTCTTTATCTTTATATTTTAGAAAACCTTATTAAATTGATCAATTTGGATTAGGCACGGTTTATTTTTGTATTTTTTTAAACATATGCATTTTTTTTTGCAAAAAAAAAAAATCTCCGATAAAGTTCTAATATTATGGGTTACTTTCCGTTTTAATCCCAACATTTATTTTTCGAATGTTACAAATCTATTTTTCCATGAAAAGATACGTATCACATTCCATTCCTTATATAAGAGAAATACAAGCTAGGGCTATAAACAAATACACTGGGATACCAAATAAGAGGGTTAACAATCTATACAAATATAACAACTATAGCCCATATAAATGCATACAAAATATATTGTTAACAGCCCCACAGTCTAAACAGGATGTCTAGAACGAACGTTCAGACTAGATCTAAAGTCAAGAAAAAGCGAAGACGGAAGCCTTTCGGTGAAGATATTCGCATACTACAAGGAAGATGGAACATGGAGCACTCAAACTTGTCCCAAAGCAATTTTGTCACGAACAAAATGGATGCCAATCTCGATGTGGTTGGTACGCTGGTGTTGAACAGGGTTGTTGGACAAGTATACGACACTAACAATGTCACAGTAGACAAGAGTGGCTGTAAGAGGCGGATATAAAAGCTCGCATAGAAGGTTGTGCAACCAACTAGTCTCTGCAACGACATTCGCAACACCACGATACTTAGCTTCGACACTCAATTTTGAAATCATACCATGTCGTTTAGAAGACCAGGAGAGAAGATTGGGGCCAAGAAAAACACAGTACCCTGAAGTGGAGCAGCGAGAAGTAGGGCATCCAACGCAATCAATATCAGAATAAGCAATCAGTCCCCAAGAAGGGGAGATATAAGTTGAAAAGTATAATTTAGCGCAATAATCCCTTGGGTATTGATCTCAATATATATAGGAAACAATACAACTGTAATCCTAAGATAATGGATTCTATCTATACAACAATACATATCTAATATTTGAAATATAAAGCTATCATTTCCTATGTTTACATTCCCCCTCAATCTTAACTGTTACTAGGTTCAGATTGTGTTGCAATTTTGCTAACATACTTCAAGTTGTAGGCTTTGTAAGTCCATCTGCAACTTGATCATTCAAAGATATCAACCAAACATCCAATGCTCCCATTGCTACCTTCTTTCTAACTAAATGAAAATCAACTTCTATATGCTTCGTGCGAGCATGGAAACCAGATTTGTTGTTAAGTAAGTTGCCCCTAAATTATCACACCATAGCACATGAGCTCGATCTTGCCGAATGCCCGGATCCTTTAATAAAGATTGTACCCAAATTACTTCTACTGTACCATTTTCCAAGGCCTTGTATTCTGCCTCTGTACTTGATCGAGACACTGTAGGCTGTTTTCTTGCACTCCATGAAATTAGATTATGGCCTAAAAACACTACAAATCCTCGAGTAGACCTTCGATAATCTAAGCATCTTGCCCAATCTGCATCAGTAAATACACTCAACAATATGGAGGGTGACTTGTGTATATGAAGTCCTGTAGATATCGTGCCTTTGACATAGCACAATATTCTCTTTACAGCTTCCCAATGAACATTGGTAGGTTTGGATAGGTATTGACACACCTTATTAACAGGGAATGCAATATCCGGTCTTGTTAGTGTAAGATACTGTAAACCGCCCACCATACTCCTATATTTGAAAGTTTCTTCATCATTAAGAGGTGTTCCAAAATTCTAAGCAAGCTTTTATGTGACTAGGATTGGGGTTGAAACACTTTTACAATTCTCCATATTAGCACGACTAAGAAAATCGGAAGCGTATTTGTGTTGCATTAAGATGATTCTCCCTGAATTGTGAACCACTTCAATCCCCAAAAAGTATTTAAGCCGACCAAGGTCCTTAATGGGCAAAGAAGAGGAAAGAGCATGAATTAACTTGTCAACAACTTGCTGCGGGGAACCAACAATAACAATGTCATCAACATAAACTAACATATAAATAGTGATAGTAGGAGTGTGAAGCATAAAAAGAGACGAGTTAGCTGTAGAGGAACGAAAACCAAGATGATGCAATTTATCACTTAGTCTAGAAAACCAAGCTCGTGGCGATTGTTTGAGTCCATAAAGTGCCTTTTGAAGTTTGCAGACATATGTTGGATTTCGAGAGTCTTCAAAACCGGGCGGTTGTTGCATATACACTACCTCATCCAGAAAACCGTGTAGAAAAGCATTATGGACATCAATCTGTTGAAGATGCCAACCATAAGAAACAGCCAAAGAGAGAACCAATCTAATGGTTGCGGGTTTCACAACGGGACTAAAAGTATCCTGATAGTCCACACCATATTGTTGTGTGAAACCATGAGCCACCAACCGGGCCTTTTATTTATCAATAGAGCCATCAGGGTTTTGCTTGAGTTTAAAGACCCATTTACTCCTAACAATATTTGTTGGGTTTTGAGTAATCTAACACTCCTAAGTGTACATGCAACCCTAAATACCTTGGATCTATGTTTTCTTTATTATACATGCAAATATCAACTTTCCAAGGTATTGTTCTATTCTAGCATACAAAACTTTGAATAACACAAG